TAAAGCTTAGTTTTGCTAGATATAAGATTCTTGGTTGTCATCAATTTTCTTTCAGGGCTTGGTATATGTTGTTCCACGATCTCCTGGCTTTGAGGGTCTGGGTTGAAAAATTTGCTGAGATACGAATTGGTCTTCCCCTACATGTGATCTGATTCCTCTCTCTTGCAGCTTTTAAGATTCTATCCTTATTCTGTATGCTAGGCATTTTCATTATAATGTGCCTTGGTGTAGATCTGTTGTCATTTTGTACATTTGGTSTCCTGTAAGTCTCTTGTATTTGGTTTTCCAATTCGTTCTTCATGCTTAGAAAATTTTTTGATATTATCACATTGACGAGATTGTGAATTCCTTTGGTTTGAAACTCTGTGCCTTCCTCTATCCCAGTAACTCAGATTTGGTCTTTTGATGCTGACTCATAATTCTTGGATGTTTTGTTCATTKTTCATTGTTTCTTACYATCTTCACTGTGTGACCAACTTTGTTTTCYAGATTGTATACTTTGTCTTCATTGTCTGACATTCTTTCTTCCAAATGACCTAGTCTATTGGTTATGCTTTCTATTGAGTTTTTTTATTTGATTTATTATATCCTTCATTTCAAGAATTTCTGACTTTTTTTTCAGAGTCTCTCTCTTGAAGTAATCTTTTGTTACCTGTATTTGCTCTTATCTCTTTGTTGGAGTGAACAATTTTTGCCTGTTCACTCCAACAAAGAGATAAGGTCATTTAGGTCATTCTTTAATTCACAGATCATTTAATAAGGTCATTTCATTTAGGTCATTCTTTAATTCACAGACCATTTTAATTATGAACATTCCAAACTCCTTGTCTGACATTTCATCAACTTCACTGTCCATGGGTTCTATTATTATAGTATCCTGGTTTGTTTGGGGCACTTTCCTCCCTTGCTTTTTCATGTTGTCTATGTGTCTTCCTTTCTTGCAATGTGAATCTGAGATATTACAGTTTCTTCCTATATTCTTGTAGTATCTGTGCAGACTCTCTATACCTCACCTTGATTTTGGGCTTGCAGACCCTGCTGGTATCCCTCAATGTATGCTACTGCATTTGCAATTAAAGGCGGTGGCAGCAATAGCCAAGGTAACTCCAGATAATAGTTAAGGTGCCCCTAAGATGAAGTGATGTCTTACAGAGATGGGGCTGAAAGGGTGGGCCTCACACTCTCTTTGGGAATGCCTGCTTTGAGATGCAGCTGCTTTTAAACCCTGTCTGCTRTCAAAGTTAGGGCCTACTGCGTGGGGAAGGCTATGCTGATGACTATAGTATCCCAAGATGGAAGTGAGTTAGGCTTGGCTCCCAGGTGGGGGGTTAGAAGAGGATGAACTCAAACCTACCCTGGACCTGGGTCCTGCACGCAAGTTGGTGTGGATGGATCTGGGTCAGGCCTAGGCTTCCTCAGTAGTCTGCTGGTTGGAAGAGGCAGTACTGTGAAGGAGGCTAGGCTCTARCAGGTGTCTGCCCTGAGGGTTGAGGGTTGAGGGATAGACCCGGGCCTAYTGTGAGCCTGGATCCACGGGCTGGTGAGGGTGGCCTGGGCTGGTTTTGTGTAGTCTACTGGTCAGAAGGGGTGTCCTGTGTCAGAGGCTAGGCTCTGGGTGTCTTTCCCCTGGATAGAGGGGTGGACCTGAACCTACTGTGAGCCTACGCCCCGGCACAAGCCGGTTTGGGTGGATCTGGGCCTTGGGGCTCAACCGCCCCCATAGTCCGCTGGTCAGAAGGGGCAGTCCTGCGCCAGAGGCTAGGCTCTAGCTGTTGCCTGCCCCACAGGTGAAGGGGTGGTCCCCCAGCCTACTGTGAGCCTGGGTCCCTCAGRGGCTGGTGTGGGCTGTCTGGCCCAGCACTGTTTCTTAATAGTATTTTGCCTTCATCATTCTTTTCTGCCAAGCACAGTACCCCCCACTTATTGTGTGTCAGTAAATAGAGGTTGTCATGTTGATAATAATGCCAGCATCATCTTTAGGTCATTTTTAGTCTGGTTACATGAAACGTAAGAGACAAAAATAAAATTTAAAAAATTTATTTGAGCAAAAAATGATTCATGAATCAGGAAGTACCCAAGCCAAAAGGACATTGTGGGTTTCACAACAGCAGTCTGAGCATAGAACAAAACACAGAAACAATTTTTAAAAAAAACTACTTTATTGGCTATAGCTAGGTGTTGGGTGTGGCTGGAAAGGAGTGCCCACATTATAGAATGAATCAGCTAGTTAGCTGTCTGTTATTGGATGAAGTTCAATTCAAATTTAATCAATTACAAGGAATGCCTCTAAACTGTTTCAGTTTGCTTATGTAAGGGTCCATGAGCCTTCCAGGTGAAGCAATGACTCCAGTCTAACAGCCTCCTACTTATTTTGCTTCAGTAGGCCCTGTAATGTTATATGGAGTGGCAAGGTTACATTATATCTATATCTCTGGTTATTTAAACATGAAATTAACATCAGAGTCATTCAGTTCAACAAACATTTATTAAGACTTATCTATTTGGGCTCCATGTTGTACCTGTGTAGGCCAAAGGAGAAAAAAAATCACTGGAAACTCAGTTCTTGCCATGAAAGAGGTCATAATTGAGTGGGGTGGTTTGAGGAAGGTGTTGACTAATAAGACCCAACCCATGAAAAATTTTCTCCAAATTATACATTATTTGGCCTTATTCTCTGCTTTGTGTTGTATAGATAGTTTAAAAAGAGAGAGAGATTAGTGGAAAGAAAATTCAGTGTAGGTTACAACCATTCCAGGCAGCTTGTGATGGAGGTGAAACTTGAGTTTGAACATTAAAAAATTGACTAAGATTTGGAAATGGAGTTAAGAGAAAATTTTCAGGGGGAGAAATAGTGTGAGCCGTGGCTCATAGGTAAGACCAATCTTTGGAGTATTTAGCAAACAATGAGAAATCATAGGTTAGCTCAAAGTGTTTATGTTGTGGAGCACTGGGAGATCATGTTAAATATATAGTGTGAAGTCATGTGGAGAGTTACAAAAGCCAGGATGAAGGATTTGTAAAACAATAATAGTGAGCCTTTGAAGATTTCTGAATGAAGATGTAATTGATGCCTCACAAAAGGCTGAGAAACAAGAAGTCAGGATCTAACAAATATATAAATTAAAAAGGATAAAGGTCAAGTAATATTAGGAACTAACATGAACCCTGGGTAGCAAGAAAGTCTTATAAGTAACAACATGTATACCTGAACAGCAACCCCCTTAGAGTCTTTATTTGGGGACAGAAATTATTTCCAGCYTTGTACTGACATCTGAATAAACCTTCTAATGGAGATTGGGTTAACCCAAATGGATAGTCAGAGATTTGGAGAAACCCTGATATGATCAAAATGGAGTTTCAGAAAAATGAGCTTGTTATTGTTATGATGAATGGATTAGTACAGGGTGAAGCCAACTGTAGATAAGAAGTAAACTGATAGGGACTTAGACAAAGATTAGAATTGTATTCCTTGAGAGAAATCAATCACTATGAAGAAAGACAAAAAGAGAGAGAAAAAAGAAACATAGAAGTGAAAGGTAGGTCTGAGATTTTAAACCTGGTTACAGAAGGCAAAAGTGGTACCACAGACTGAGYTGGAAAAGCAAATTGTATTCACATACAATTTGCTGATTTTCTTCATTCAACCCAATAGAGCTTAACTGGAAACAACATTCACCTCATATGGCCTGTGCTCACCATACTGGATAATTTGGAATGATTTAATGCTAAATCTCATGGAGAGTTTGAAGTGAAGTGTCCACTCCACCCCCTGCTTTGGCTTCTCTTTTTGAGTAGCTTGATTATCAATACTTGGGACACTTCCTAACRTTTAAATGATAGTAGAAACATGTTGAAGTTGGCAGATAAAATCTTGGTTTTCGTCTGATCAGTGTTTTGAATGGGGGTCAGAATTTTAGTATGCAAGAAGGCTACATGTAAGTATGTCTTGGGTGAGATATTTTGTCCAAATTAGAGTTTTCTTCTCAGTATTCAGATTTTATCTTCTGATATGGTTGTGTCACTGAGATAAAATAGGTTTTAAAACTTACTGGTTTTAAAAAATATTGCAATGCTTAGTTTGAAAAAAAAAAGTCAAATGAGAAGTTTAACAATAAGAACCACTTAACAACTACTATGTGTCAGAAATTATGTTGATTTATATGATTTTTTTATTTAATTAATAAATAATACTAGGAGGTATGTACTTACTTTCATTGTCTTCATTTTCCAGTGAAGTAACTGTGACCACAGAGATTAAGTAAATCACCTAGATTTACTCAAAGTAAGTTAGGGTAGACCCAGGTTAAGACATAATATCTAGTATGATTCTGAAGTCCTTATTCTTAGCTTCCATCCTCTGCCTATCTCTTCTGGCTTCAGTGATCAAACAAGGTGATTGTGAATTTTACTAAATCTTTCAGCACTCCACCCACAAAAGATATGATTTATGTCATGCATGAAGAAACAACATTTCATTTATAAAATATGCCACTGAATTGTTTAGCAACCTGTGTTTTCACATTTCTGGCAATGGATATTTTCACTTGCTAAACTGGGCACAGTGCAATAAAAACTTAAATTTCTAGGAGCTTTATATAAACATATTACAAGGGTTTGTTGTTGTTGTTGTTGTTGTTTTGTTTTGTTTTTTTGCCTTGATAACTTTCTTAAGACCAAGATCCTCCATGAACATCCTAAACCTAGGATGGGGATAAGAAAAATTATTTTACAAATGTTTTAGGAAAAATACAAATATTAGAAAAAACAAAACTGAGAATTCAAATGCTGTCAAAAACAATGACAAASTGTACCTTTGAAAAGATCTGTATATTAAATAAAATTTTAAAATAAATATACAGTATCCGTATTTACATATGAATGATACTTTGAAAGCATCTATTTCTAAATTTATGTTTCTGTGACAAAATGCATGCTAAGGAACTTATATTTTTGTTCACCTGTGAAACTAATTGAAAATTGTTTGTTTGTTCTTCTCACAGCTGAATTTTTATTCCTCTTGTGGGGTGTTTATCTCTGCTATGCAGTGCGGACAGTCCCATCAGCATTTCATGAGCCACGCTATATGGCTGTTGCAGTTCACAATGAGCTCATTATCTCTGCTATATTCCATACAATTAGGCAAGTGATCTGTAGAGCTAGTAAATAACTGTTTTATTTTTCTGATGTTTTGCAGTTTAATTTAAATACAAAAATTGGATAAAATGAATAATGGAAAGATTTAGGAAGGGTGATGTTTTGTAAGTTGACTAATTTGTTCCTGTAATGGCAAATGAATAGTTTTGTTTTATTTTTACTCTGTTTCTTCTGATATTGCTTTTTTTTCCTTCATTTATTTTGAAGGTTAACTCAATGATATTGCATTATGTTAAACCACTTATGGGATATTGTGTATATATGCTATTATTTGTTATGAAGATATAAAGCAATGCACATATAATTATAAAGCAGATATGGATAATCCAACTGTTTTTATTCATATTTCATATAATGGTTTATATTTTCAAAATCCTAACAGTCAAATAGACAGTTTATATGTGAATTCTACTGAATTCAAGACAAATGAAAAAAAATCATCTATTCTCTGTGTTATTATATACAGTTAGGGTTCTGTCATAACCACATTTTAGCCATGACTTTCTTGAGTAAGAGTGTATACTCCAGGGCTCTCCTCTATGTTATGCATTCTCTATAGCAGATAAATATGAAGAAAGGTAAAAATGGTATATAATGAAGTGCGCAAAATGACTTATCTTCTGAGAATTTTCCCTTGCTTTATATTTGAAAATGAAATGAAAATCTGAGGATASAACAACAACAAAAAGAATCCTGTTATTTGAAAAGCAACAAAAAAAAATGTCATTCAGTTGCCTGACAGATTTTGAAAGCTAGGATACACTTAAGAAAATTATTAGAAACTTTGAATGTCTTGGCCCTCAGTGGAAAGAGGAAATCCCTTTTCTTTGGTTTCAACTCCTTTGATGGAATTCAGATGTCCCTAGAAATTAGTGAGAATGGGAGTCAGGTTGGGGGCAGGAGACTGTGGACTTGTGCATGTTTGCGTTTCTCAGTATGCTTATTTATCACCTTAGACAGTCAGAAAAATACTAACTAGCACTTGTAGGAATACATGATGCCAGGGGGCAGTTGGGCTTAGGCACAGCCTATGCTTCTTAAACTTTTCATTAAAAAAAAGAGATGTCTGTGATCTGAGTACCCTGGAAACAGGAATCAGAGAAACTGGGTTCCTAGCCTTGACTTACTTCTCTCAAGAGAGAGTAAAGTGAAACAGAGGAGAGAAAGAGATTAGAAGACTTAAAAAGAATGAGAATGAAAATATATGATCATAAAGACACAATGGGAGGAATAGTCTTTCCTAAACTAGAGTTTCAGAATCTGAAAATGGATGCCTGTGGTCCAGAATGTAGGGAGCATCAGAAGACATCATGTCACAGTCCCAGATCTCCAATATACTTTTCATTTCTCCAAATAAAGATTATTTTCCAAGTGAAGCTGGTTTTTTGTACTTTGCTTCCAGAATGTCAAGCACATGTTTCAAGATTTAACCATCATCTGAATATTACAAACCTGAGAGAAGACATTATTCCCGATAAGTTTAAATGTCTTCTACCATCAGCATGTGACTATGCAGTACAAAGTRTTTTCCACTTTTGCCCCACATCAAGCTTCTAATTTTGTTAGAAGCAAATTAATAGGCCAAGTTAAWTTTTTTCAAATCAGTTACATAGGTATCCTTTTATATTTTAGATGTACTCTATTCAGTTTTCACCATCAATTTTTTTTTTCCAGTAAATGTCAAACTGTAAACTGGCCCAGGTCCTTTCAAAAATAGGCAAAGTGAATTATGCCTTAAATATATATTTTTTTAAGTTTAGTAAAATAATAATAAATGGCAATTACACAAAAAATCATAAGATAAAGTTTAAAAGTAAACCTCCTAATTGGGCCATCTACAAATATGTACTATTAACATATTAGTATGCAAATTTTAGATGTTTTTATATTTATGCCTATATTTATAATAATGTAGTATTTTACAGCCATAAAGGACCAAGGATTTTAAATTATAGTTTAACTCAGTAAATCTGAAAAACATTGATTGGGGGTGGAGTGGGTAGGAAGCAAATAATAGGCAACGATAATTAAATAAATCAAGTATGCAGTATGCACAATATCATATTTACCCATAGACTTAATTCATACATGCTATAGTTCCAAAAGTAAGAAGCAATAATATAATAATAATTTAAACCAACTGGACCTATTTCAGTAATTTTTTTTTATTTTGGTAATTTTCTTGAATGAAATTATATTAAATAAGGCTTCCAACATCAGAAAAGATATTCTCTATTAATATGTCTTCTTTCTTGTCTGTGTAAAATATAAAATTATACGTGTGTACAGGTACATATACACACATATTATATATATATATATATATATAAATTAAAACAACTACATATTATATATAGATTTACTTGCATTCTTACCAAATTGTCAAATCACACAAAAAGAGGCTAATGTCAAAGAACTAAGTATAAAAGTACAGAAGACCTTTTCCCCAGTACTTTCTACTCCTTTGCTTATTTTTAACTACTGCAAAACCTGATTTTTCTCAAGGTATTTCTAGTTATAACTGCAGTAATTTAAAGCTGATTAATTTTAAGGTAATTATTGTCAGTATAATTCAATTATTTTTTGAAGATTCACTATTTTAGCTTAAAATATATACTATACAACTATCATTTTATTCATATTTATATATTCTTACAAGCTTCATAGAGTATGACTTGTTGCTAAGTATGGTGACCCTATTTTAATGCTTAAAAAAAATCTCACATAACCCATGAAAACAAACTATCAAAATTATGTCATGTATAAGTAAAAAGAACCAATAAAAAAAGTATATCATCCATGAACAAAGAGAATGTTAAGTCATATTGAAAGCATGTGAAATGTAAGGTCACTGGTCTCAAAAAGGAGTTAGATAGTAATCAAGAAAAAAAATTTCTAATGATATATGAGATAACATAACATTTTACACTTCTATATATATTACAAATTTGTTTTGTTTACATTTCCAGAAACCTGGGAAAATAACTTCCTATTTTGGATAATTTTTGTATGATGTTCTAAAAAGTGAGGAGAAGGTAAAAATGAGGAATAAATCCCCTTAAGGACAATGTTGTTTTAAATATTAATAATATTAATTTAATTAATAGAATTGTACTGAGTGTGATATAATGCACATATAAAAGTTAGTTTCTTCCCCTTTTTGCCAATCATATAAATTTGTTTTGTGATTATGATATCATGAGCATTTTCATAGGCTCTTTACTTTTCAAATTTGATGATGTATATCATTGAAACACAATTCTAATTTTCTAAATCCAAAGCAGTAAAATCCCATGTTTATATTTCATGAATTAATAGAAGATAATATAACATTTGGATGTAATTTTTAAAAACTCATAAAGTAACCCTTGGTTTCTACATAAGGATGAGTCATTAAAACACAGCTTTGGTGAACYTATTAATTTACAAAAGTAATCCAAAATTACTAGAGTAGACCTTGGTACTGAATTCTCCCTCCCTGAATCAGAATATAGATTCAGAATTCCTCAGTAAAAGATTATTAAATAATACACTTTAAATTATTTAGGACAATATGACAATTTAAAACAACTAAAAATTTTACTTTAAAAGTTTATCTTACCTACCATTATTATGTTAATTTTCYATTGCCTTATTCAAACCTTTGGGAACACTCACAAAGACACATAACTATCCACTCTTTTTTACCTTAATGTTTTTAACTTATAATATTAGAATCAGGACTTATTCGGAATATGTGCTATAACCCAAATTTGCTTGAAACAACCAGTTTGTAACCTACTCTTCAATTCATGTCTATTTACTGTTTTAGTTTTGCAGAGTCAACTTACATATACAATAATAATCTTGGTAAATGTGCAGCACATATGTATGTATATATTCTGTTTCTGATAATTTCAAATAATAAATAGTATTTATATCTTATTAATCCAGTAAAGGTTACTCAAACCTTTATTCTTCCTGTGATGAAAAGATAATGCTAAAGAAACAGGAAAAAAACACAGTTTTATTTTCTTTTTAAAAATAAATTGASCAAAAGATTTTGCAAATATCCTAGTGTTTTAAGTAGAAATCTTAATTTTGGATTGCTGACTTGAATAATTATCATTTCAGATTTGTTCTTGCCTCAAGACTTCAGTCTGATTGGATGTTGATGCTATATTTTGCACATACTCATTTGACTGTGACAGTCACCATCGGGTTGCTTTTGATTCCAAAGGTATTTTTCTAACATTTTATTTTTCTTGCAAGACAACTATTTTAAAAGAGCATGGAGTTGTTTCTTCTTTTAAAAATATCTCACAACACAGACAAAGGGAAGTATGGAAATTTGCTGGGCACTGTAAAAATAGTTTTTTAAAACTCCTTTAGAAACTGGGTATGTTTTCATTTTAGATTCATAAAACATCTTAAATAATTTTAAATGCCTTAATTTATACCAAAATTTATCATCCCTTTCCAAATATTTTGATTTCTACTTTTGTTTTAATTATTATTGTTAGATGGCTTTCATTGTAGCTATAACATCAAGATCATATTTTTAAATAACTATTCTAAGAATCCTTCCTCTTTAGATTCATATTCAGAGAAGTATTGTGTTTAAAACATTCAGAGATTTTGTTTAAATGGAAATACGTATAAAATTATGTATAGAAGAATATTTTTTTTTCTTTTATGCACATAGAAACACAATACTAGAACATTATATGTTTTATCAGTGCTGTACAATATAACATTAGCACAGCTAAAACCAGTTTGTGGTTTATCTTTCATTGTAGACTTTATATCAGTTCTCACAATTAACTAAAATGTTACATTTAGCCAGGTTGCAAAGGCCAGTTATAAACAGAACAAAATATACCTATTTTATTCCCTACTTGACTTACATTAACTAGTCACAGTTTCATGTATTTATCTGTTACTACAATTTATCTTAATGTTATTGTTAAATTAGCATTTCAATACTTTGCATATCATKTTATATCTGTTAGATGGATGGATATTCAGACTATTCATTCAATAGTTATTGAACTTGAAAGAGAATTGAAAACATATGTTCATACAAGAACCTTGCATATGAATGTTTATAGCAGCATTATCCATAATCCTAAAAATAGAAACAACCCAAATTTCCATCAACTGATAAATGTATAAGTAAAATATATATCCATATAATGGAATATTATTTGTCAATAAAAAGGAATGAAATGAAATACTGACACATGCTACAACTTGGACAAACCTTAAAAACATTATGGCAGATAAATAAGCCAGACTCMGAAAGGCACCTATTACATGATCCCATTTATGTTAAATGTCCAGAATAGGAAAATCTGTAGAAACAGAAAGTAGACCAGTGGTGGCCACAGCAGGGAGAAGGGGGAATAGAAGTGATAACTTAATGAGTTTAAGGCTTCTTTGGGGGGTGTTGAAAATATTCTGGGATTAAATAGTGATTGATAATGGTTGCACAACCTGTGAACACACTAACAAACACTGAATTATATACTTTAAAATTGTAAACTTTAATATCTGAATTATATCTCAATAAAAAGACAAATTTAATATATTGAGGGGCTTAGATAGGCACTGTTCTATATCCTTATAATAAGAATAATGAACAGATAAAAGTCTATGTTCTCTATATTCAGGAGGCAGAGTTTGGGGACAGACAAGATTAACAAATAAGATAAATGGATAAAGTCCTAAGAAAAAAATAACACAGCAGGAAGTGCATATATTAGACAAACAACCTTTTTTTGGTGGGGGGAGGTGCTGGGGCCTAGCACATGCTAAGCATATCCTCTACCACTGATTTACATCCCTAACCTCTGTAACCCTTGGTGTTGTTTCTTGAACTCATGACTGTCTCCAAGGTTTTGCTCAAGAAAAAATAGTCCCATTTTTATAAACAGTCTCCAGCTGGTTTAGTTAGTATCCCATGAGACTTTGGATGCCATCATATTCATCAKTTATAGCCCAAGTTCATGGTACCTGTGAGTCTTACAAAGGTAGACAGAAGAGGGAAGGAAAGTCTCTATTTCTGAGTCAGTTCCAGTTACAAAACATGAATTATGACTTAAGCTAAGAAATGCTGTTTCACATGTATTTCAGATACATTTTCACCATGCTAGTTGACACTAAAGTATTTCTATATCCCCAATGTTAGTTTTTGGAAAGAATATTTGAACCAATAATAAGCTAGAAGAGAATCCATGTTCTCTGAGCTATTATTTTATTTTCAGCAAACAGTTTTTACATAACTGTTCCTTATTTTACATATTGTTTATGTGTGGCTACATTGTTTTGATTCTTCTTTCTGCTTTCCATCCTTTACCCTACTCATTCTTCCTGACTTTTGCACTTAGAAACAAGCACATGAAGTAGAAAAGAAAAATCATATGAAAATAATTAAAATACAAAGAAGGAGGAACTTGAGAATGATAGTGAGCTTGAGGAAAAATGTGTTAATTTCAGTTGAATATTTGCATTTAAACTTAGATACCATTCACCCCAGAACTCTTTAGGCCAAGAGGATACAGTGGTCCAGAGTGATCTCATGTCTTCTTCAAGATTTCATTGATGACAGAATTGAAACTGGAGTCAGATATCCTGTTTATTTTGAAAGTAACTTTTTTGAGCCTATGTGTAGAATACTGAAAGTCACATCCCTGTTACTAGTATGATTTATGGCCATAGATGAAATAAATCCTTACCTAAGTGAAGCAAAATGACAAACACAGGAGACCTCAGTGCTCAAAAAAAAAAAAAAAAATCCCAACAAACCAACCAAAAAACCCTGCCATCCACCTGCTAGTGAATCTACATTTCTCCTCTTAGGCAACATTTCTTTGGATTCTTCTACTTAATTTATATTTTCAAAAAGACAAATATATCTTGGAAGTGGATTAATATAAGTTAATACTAGGAAATAAACAAAGGTGGAACTTGGGGTCAGAGAGGGAGCCACGTGCTAATATTGCCTCACTGAGAGCACCAGCATGTAACATGGAAATCAAAACAAAATATAGCAGCAAATCATTGGAAAGTATTTAGTGAATGAATTTATCAAACTGAAGAAATGCTGTTCATATTAGCACCTTTAGACAATTATTGTGCTATGTCTACAGTGGGTTAATGCCTAMAGTTCATATTGAATATCTGTTACAGTTTTCACTTTCAAGCAATAATCCACGTGACGATATTGCTACAGAAGCATATGAAGATGAGCTAGACATGGGCCGATCTGGATCCTACCTGAACAGCAGTATCAATTCAGCTTGGAGTGAGCACAGCTTGGATCCAGAGGACATTCGGGTAATGCTGGTCTATCTTCTTTCCTGTTTCAGAGTAGGCCCAGTTAGTCCCATTGATACAGGCAAATGTGTGTGGATTGGCATGTGCATGCACATGTGTGCCTGTGCTCATGTTGGTGTACACAGCATTAGAGAGAAAGAATTCATATTTTTGAACTGAAGACATCAAATGCAGAGTTAATTCAGTGATAACATGTACAATTGGAAAGTACATGCTATTTCAACTCTTACAGTAGCCTGGGAAGTTTTTATATTTTTGACTGACTTATAGGCAGTCATGATGAAGAACTGATTATCCATGTTCTAAAATATGAGTTTATAACAACCTGCTAATGGAAAAGTAGGATGTACCTGTGACCAGAGAAACTGAACTGGATTATTTAAAATGATATGTGATAACTTATCAGTATCTGAAGGAAGAAGGTGCCCTTTAGCAGTCTATGAACTGTTGACCCTTAAAGCTAATCTAGCATAACATAAAACTTCATCAAATGGCAATATAGTACTTCCAACATTATTCTGGATTGCGGGCTCATCAGTAGTAGATAGTATGTTGTATTTTCTTATGGTCCTGGCTCAGCTTTGTCCACACAAATTGAAAGTTCAAAATCCTTGCTCTGTGAAGCAAGGATAGAATTCATGAGTTTATGTCTTAAAGTTCAAATTTTATGTAAAACACAAAATAATTAGAAGGTAGAAATGAGGAGAAAATTGATAAGCACAGATGTTAACAAAAGTTGTAGAGCAATTTCCCTAAAGAACTTAAGCTTATTGACTTCTAATACCATTCAGTGAAATTGGCAAAAACACTCCATTGAATACCTTTTTTGAATTTGCTCTTGTTTTGGCAGGATGAGCTAAAGAAACTGTATGCCCAGTTAGAAATATATAAAAGGAAGAAGATGATTACAAATAATCCCCACCTCCAGAAAAAGCGGTGCTCGAAGAAGGGCTTAGGCCGTTCTATCATGAGGCGCATCACTGAGATTCCAGAGACTGTCAGCAGACAGTGTTCCAAAGAGGACAAGGACATGGCAGACCACAGCATGGCCAAAAGTACAGCCCTCGTTAGGAAGAACCCACCAGAGCCTTCAGGTAATACAGGGAGACCCAAGGAGGAGTCCCTGAAAAACAGAGTCTTCTCACTCAAGAAATCCCACAGCACTTATGACCATGTCAGAGACCAACCAGAAGAGTCCAATAGCCTACCAACAGAAAACCAAGAAGAGGAGGCTACAGAAAATTCCACACTGGAATCTCTTTCAAGTAAAAAGCTAACACAAAAACTGAAAGAAGACAGTGAGGCCGAGTCTACAGAATCAGTGCCTTTGGTGTGTAAGTCAGCAAGTGCTCACAACCTCAGCTCAGAGAAGAAGCCTGGGCACCCACGAACATCTATGTTACAAAAGTCTCTTAGTGTCATAGCAAGTGCCAAGGAGAAGACTCTTGGATTAGCTGGGAAAACCCAAACATCAGGTGTAGAAGAACGTGCTAAATCTCAGAAACCTCTGCCAAAAGATAAAGAGACAAACAGGAAGTGCTCAAATTCAGATAACACAGAGACTAAAGATCCTGTCCCCCCAAACTCCAATCATTTGGAGGAACCAAGAAAGCCTCAGAAATMTGGAATTATGAAACAACAAAGGGTTAATCCCACTACTGCCAATTCTGACCTGAGCCCAGGCACCACCCAGATGAAGGGCAACTTTGACATTGGGGAAGTGTGCCCATGGGAGATTTATGACCTGACCTCTGGTCCTGTGCCTTCAGAAACAAAAGCTCAAAAACACGTGTCTATCGCAGCTTCTGAAATGGAAAAAAATCCAACATTTTCCTTGAAGGAGAAAGCCCACCACAGGCCTAAGGCAGCTGAAGGATGTCAGCAGTCCAGTCAGAAGAGCATAGATAAGGCCGAGGTGTGCCCTTGGGAGAGCCAGGATCAGTCTTTTTTTGAAGATGAAAAACATTTGATTTCCAAGACTATAGTTCTCCCAGGGAGAGCCAAAGATGAGAATGGAGGTCAGCACCATGCAGCCACTGTGTGTGCTGGGCAATACGAGGAACTGCCCCCCAAAGTCATGGCATCAAAAATAGAGAATGAAAATCTCAACCAAATGCGAGACCAGGAAAAGACATCTTTCTCTGTGGAAAATGCACCTGGTTCCTGTAACTCAAGTAAAAACTCCCAACAACCGTTAACATCACGAGCTGAAGTGTGTCCTTGGGAGTTTGAGACCCCCGGTCAACTAAATGCTGAAAGAAGTGTAATTTTACCAGCCTCTTCTGCTTTGAGTGCAAATAAGATAGCAGGGCCTCGAAAATAATGAGGTAGTAAGCCCAGGAAGAAAAGAAAGAAGAAAATCCCAATGTGATACAAGACAGAAGATCTAAGAATCAAAAATTCCCACAGAGTATTTTGTAAGTCAAGGGAAATATGGCAGATAGTGAGGGGAGGTGAAAGGGCTGAAGATGACTAGGACAGGTCCAGCATGTCACAATGCAGAAGTCAGCCTTCAGCAAAGGAGAGTCCTCCCCTGGTAAACTAAGAAAATCTTTTCATTTCAGCACGTYTAAGGGAATGCCCTCAACATCTGCCCCAATCCATCTTTCCTCATGGGACTTTGAAGATCCTAAGCAAGATGAGCAAGGAGACAGAAGATGTATGATTTTGGCAAAGAGGAAAAAGTTTTAGATAGATATATATGACAAATTCTAAGTAGCTGACTGAAAAGACCTTACTTTACCTATTTAACCTTGATAGCACTGCTAACTTAATGCATCCCAAAAATACCTTTTATATTAATGATTGCTCTCATTTTATTATAAATGTATGTTTCAGTACATTGTTGTGTCTCATATTCAAGCATTCCAGATTGTATAATTTTTGCAAATAACTTTGATATTATGTGACACAACACATTTATGCAATCTGCAGCTACTCAATTGTTATTGCAACTTACAGAATACTTGCTATCAACTTTAGTTGATTCTTGAAGTACAGTAAGCTTTCTCTGGCTTAAGAAGCCATAACAGTTATGATAAAAACCTTTAGTTTGGGCTGTRGTTTATATATTATGAATTTGGATTTGACTCTATTATTTCACATCATGATTTGTTATACAGTCTTAATCAGGGTTTTTTATACAAGTTGAGTTACTTATTTTGCACTTGTTAGGACTCAGAAGGTTTATTATTATTGGAGATCAAGTGGTCCTACTTAGTCATGTCTCAATAAGTTAAGGACAACTTATCCATTGTTTGTTCAAAGTCAGAGTCATTCCAATTACTTGTCCCTTTTACTCTTTCAGTATTTCATACTTAGCAACATTTCCTAAGGAAGAAGCTAAGAGTGAGAAAAATATACTGTGCATTATTATTACCAATGGAAAGGGAAGACTCTAGGAATGATGAGAATTATAGCATTAATACACATAGATCCAGGAAATTTGCCTTCAAAGTGAAGACAGAACGATAGCTCCTAATAGCATTTTCAAGGGATTATTTTTTTAAAGAGAAAAATTAATGATAGCATCAATATCATTATATGGATATATTTTATTATGCATACTGAAAATATATTTTAAATTACCTTAAACTATTTATTCTCATAAAATTTTATTCATTGCTTCAACTAGGGATAGAACTTGCTGGGCTCAAATCCCAAAGAGGTTTTATAACCTGATTTATTCAAWGATCATAAGGTGGTATGGATTCTTCATTCTAGAAACCTTCAAGTCCTGAAAATTGCCCTTGCAAGCCACCTTACTCAAAATGAAAAGCCTAATATTATTTGCAAGGCAAAACAGCCTGCAAAGTATATCTTACAAAACTTAACTGCACTCCACACTGATCTCTTCGCATGAAAATCCTAAGCTGCTGACTTCACCCTACTGATGTGATCATGCAGTGAGATTCCAAAGCTCAGTCTCATTTTATTTAAAGGTGAATCACTTAAAAATAGAGCCCAGACTTTGCTTTCTCTCACTCTGAACACTGAAGTATCAATTGCTTATTTGGCCAGGATATTTCCAACCTAAATAACTGCTTTCCATTTCATAAGCAGCAAGGGGAACATGCTAGGAGGATAAAAGATGGGAAAAAGGAGTCAGAAGGTGGATTTAAGGCTTTTCTTAGAGAATTTTATCCGCAGCAGAAGGTAAAAACAGAATTCTCTGTGTCCACCATCAACATTTTCTCAGTGATTTCATTCAAGAGTATGCGAGCATGTGGCCCTTTTACAAAGCTGTGCATGAATCTCCCTCACCCATTTGCTTACTTTGTGCAATACTCAGGTTGGTGGGGTAGGTACGAAGAGCTATAGAAATTCTATTTTAAAGTGTTGCCTTCATTTCTTTATTTCATCCCTTCCTTTTTAGTCACCCAATCTTCCTACCTTCTTGAAGTTCCTAGAATACTACTTTAAGGTATATTTGTGAACTTGGTTTCGAGTTTCTAGACCAACATACTTGTTTCACTTATGTCTGAGATTTCTTAGCATTTGATTCACTTTTGAGAATTAAGCAGTGACTTTTATTGCACTTCAGGATGATCCTGCTAGACATGTGGCTTAAAGAAAACTTGCCAAATTATACCTTAGTGACATTCTACAGACCATAGATTATTCTCTACCAGCATAGAATGGTGAAAATGCCTAGGGTCTTTCCTAGAGTTTCATTGCCATTATTAATCACCAAGAGAAGTTGAAATTTACAATTCTGGAGGATATTTTCCCAGGTTCATTACAATAAGAAAGTGAATAAACACTTACTAGAGTCTCACAAACATTTGTTAGGTTGTCCTTCTCAATGCATGTGCAGGCTGCATCCTGTCCTTGTTTTTATGCCAGGGTTTATAAATAAGTAGATTTATATCAAYCTTAATAGAACTGTATATTTTATGCAAGAATTAAATGCTTTACGACATGAATTATAACTTAACCCATTGTAAACTTTGGTGGCAATATGGATTTGACACTCGACAGTTCTCTTGTATTTGCTTCCTAGGTTTCTGCATGCAAGTGATGACAGGTAGGACTGAAAAAACACTGCCTTTGACTTCTAGCATTTAGCAACTGAGAGTTGTAGAGTCAACAAAGCTGTTAAGTCTCTTCACTTAATCTGTGGTTCTTCTGAAACTATTATCTGAAACCTACAGCATCCCACCATGAGATATTTGGTAAATTTATGTCGTGATGTGTTGCAGCATGTAAATAATTATAACTTCTCTGCAATAAAACATATTTATATGAAAGTGATTTATGGTGATTTGTGTGTTCATCTGTCAGAAAGTAAATTTATTTCACCCAACTCACTTTAGAAAGAATTCCACATAGATCTTTGGTTTGGGTACCCTTAGGCACATATTGCCTTATCTYGCCTATCTCGAGAAACAGGTGATTAGCCAAATGTGGTCTCAAGTATACAAGTAATCATTTGGCACCATTAAAACCCATTAGGACTAGTGGTATTGATTTAAGAAAGTTCTTCCCAAATAGGAACTAATTCAGCAACCTTTTTGGTGGTGGTGGTGGTGGCTTATTCTGCAGACATAGCAGGCATTCTGCTAAGCAATGATGATACAAAGAAAAATGAGACCTCCAAGAACATTCAGACTCATAAAAGTATCCAGTGCCTGGTAGGATAATACACAGATGAGCATAAGTAAGTCAAGGAGTCAGGGAKTTCACTGGGATTAAATTCTGCAAAGGCATCATGCAGTGATGAAGGCATCAGGTATGAAGGGGAGCACATAACGCTAAAGATGACTGTACTCAGCCTTGCTTGCCAGGCTTCAGTTAACTGAAACTTCATGCCATCATACTGGATGCTATCAAAAAGCTTTCAACAGAGGCATAATCAAGTTGTGTATTAGAAGGATCATTTTGGGAACATCCCAGAAATGTATTGAAATGGAAAGACACTAGAAGTAACTCGGCCAGTTAGAATACTAGCATGACAGTCACAGGAAGGAACATGAGAGCCCAAGGGCGAGAGGGAAAGATTGCTGTTTGCTTCATCAAAATCACATCTTCTAAGGAGTTTACTATTTTGTGATACTCATGTGATGTGAGAAAAATTAGAATACTTAGATAATTAATGACAGCTATCATGTTTGTTGACATTTTGGCTTATTTAAAAAATTAAAAACCCCCTCTGAAGATATATATACCTCATCCCATCTGCTTATGAGAAATGTGTAGAATAGGAGCCCAGGTTTGTGCTAGGGGAAGCCTTGAAACTAAACTGGGCTGGGAAAGGAAAGAGGCACAAGAGTGCATTGCAGTATGGACTTCAGTGCCTATCTGGAATTGGTAACTTTCCAAAGCATCTCCMGAAAGAGAAACAGGAATGAAAAGAGTGAGGAGGAGGGAGCCGCCTTCCCTACCTAATCCCCGCACCTGTTTCCTTAAATGAAGCATAGCCATTGCCATTTCCCATCTGTTCATATTGCATGCACCTGATGAATAGAATTCTTGTAGAATCTGTGGCTACAGCTCTTTGAGCACCCTAAAAGGGCTAACACAAAATTATTTGGGGATTAACAAAGCATGAATGTTAAGTCTGCTGTGGGTTCTCATGTGAGGAGGAAGATACAGGCTTTTCAGTTACTGGTGGAATTGTTCAATTGATGTCTGTATTTTTCATACATATTCATAGTACTAGTCATTGTCTTGGTTCTAAATTTAGAACCTTTTTGTTAAAATATGCCTAAGAGAAATAAATCTACCAGAAATGAACTTTATCATACAAAAAGTAATAATGTAAACCTATTGTTCAAAACAATGCAAAGTTAAGATTTTCTTTATTTCAGCATATTCCATTCTTTTTCCCTGAATAGTTATGAAGACAAAAATAATTTTTGTCCAATTTGGGCTATTTTCTCTTCAAACATTTGTTTCTAGGAAAGCATAGGGCCAAGTTCAAGCACATTGAATGTTCTAATTTAGTGTTAACTGGTTAGAAGGCAGATAATGAARTGTATGAATTGTTTTATAATTTCCCTCTCTATTCTTGTGATGTAAAAATAATAGATTGCCAGAAACGAACTGTCTGATGAAATGGAAATGGAAAATGAGATATAAAAATGGGAAAGATCTATGCTACACAGTAGTCATCTTCCTAGAAAGAAAAATAAATTAAGCACAAATAAAAGGTTCATTCGAGTTCTCGAAGAACATACTCCTATTTTAATTCAATCAGCAACAGGWATGGGGGGAGTGCCTTCTTTTATGCATACAAGAAGATTATACAGCTCTTCTCCAGACAGTCCCAGGGATTTCATCCTTCCAAACCTTTTGTATTTGCTCTTTGGTTCACCTGAAACT